CGACGGTGGCGAGCAGCACGATATTCAAGGCGGCGGTGTCGAAGGGTTTAAGCTATCACATCTTCATGCTCTATACCTATGCTCTTTCTGCTTTGGTAGTTGCTCCTCTTGCCTACATTTTCCATAGGTATATATTTTTTCATCTTCATTTCCTTAATTTATTAATTACAATCTATATATAAAGAATGTATTCATGGTATTTTGTATAATTAATACTTCAATTTATCAGATTATATATTCGTAACGATTTCCAAACATATTTAAGTGGTAATATCACTAACTGGTCATGTCGTAGCTTGAAAATTTGTCGGTTCTGAATTAGTCGGTTCCCCTGTGGATCCGGAAATCGGAAGTTCCCTGTACCAAAAAAAAAAAAAAATTGTAAAAAGATAGTAATTTTTTCTTTGGAGACGTACGACATAATAGTCATTCTGTTATGTGAAATGACACAATTACCCTTATTATCAAAAAACTATTACGTTGCTTGCAGAAAGGCAAAACTTCCTCCATTTACAACGGGCATCATGCTCAAATTTTGCTCGCTCGGGGTTTTGGGGTACGTTTTAATACTTATGTTATTTTACCATTTATTGAGTTACAAAATGCTCGTCATTAGCTATATATATATATGCTTGTAATCTAAAAAAAATGTTTTTTTTTCGAAAATACATTATCTTTATACATTTCTTTTTTGTCATGAAAAAAATTTCCAAATAAAAATTTCTACGAATATTTCAATATTATTATTTCAAATTCCAACTAATATTTTGGTTAAACACTAAAATTAAATTTTCATTATTATTATTTTTTATTTATTTATAAAAAAAAAAATATGCAGTTTTGTAGCGCAATATCTTGGGAATGTAGGCATTGCTTTGAGCAATCCAACTTTGGGTTCAGCCATGAGCAATCTCACTCCCGCTACTACTTTCATTCTCGCCATTCTCTTCAGGTTCTTTTTTTCCCTTTTTTTTTTTTTTTTTAAATCAACACTATTATTTTTCATATTTAAACAATTAAATTCCATCAAAAATTTGAATGGTAATTAATTTTTATAGATATTCAAATATTAATTATAACTTTCATTGAAAAAATTACAGTGGAAATTCCAACGAAAATGTGTTGTAATTTTTTTACGTTGAAATTTCTGTTAAATTTTGAAGATTCGAAAGACGGTTTCTGCACCGTTTTATAATTGTTTTTCAATTGTATATTTTTTAGTTGTAATTTAATTTTTTTTAGTGCAAATTACTAAAATAAAATAAAAACACTCAATTATATCTTTTGAATAAAATTCACGATTTTACTAAAACTTCTGCCATATTAGCTTTAATTAAAAAAGTTAATAGTAAAATAAAAAAAAAAATGCCAGGATGGAAAAGATAGATTTAAGAAGTTCAAGCAGCCTGGCCAAGATCACGGGCACGATCTTGTCCATGGCAGGCGCCTTTGTGGTCGTTCTGTATGAAGGCCCACCAATCATAGGCCATACGGCCCATAAATCAATGGGCCTTCCACTATTCTCGTTATCGGCCCAATCGAACTGGATCGCGGGCGGCCTTGCTCTGGCAGCTGAGTACATCATCGTCTCCATATGGTACACCTATCAGGTTGGCACAGAACTTAATTACAAAAATTGCACCTGGAGTTTCAAATTAATTCCATTTACTTCAATATGTAAATTATAAAATTGCAATTTGCACCCCATTTTTTATTTATTTTATTTTATTTTATTTATTTTAAATTAAAAATTGTGCAGGCCAAAGTTATCAAGAAATACCCAGCAGAATTTGTGTTGGTGTTTTTCTACAATGTGACTTGTTGTGCACTGTCACTTGTTGATTGTCTATTTAGGGAGCAAAATTTTGATGCATGGAAAGTGAAGCCTGATGTGCGCCTCATCTCCATATTATATGCGGTGAGACTAATTTAATTTAATTTAATTTAATTATTGATTTGCCAAAATCCGAAAAAAAATTAAATTGTTAATCGGCAAAATTGCATTTTAAGCCTTGTAACTAGGGGTGCAGGCAAATGTGGACAACTTATTTTTGGTTTGGCAAAAGTGTCATGAAACTTGTTAAAACCCGAAATTCGTGCCCAATTTGGGCACAAATTTCGAATTTTAACAAGTTACTGTCATGTTTTGTCACATAAAAAATCGGTCAAATCCGGTAACTTGTAGGTAAAATTGGGCACGAATTCTGGGTTTTAACAAGTTTTGGAGCACTTTTACCAAACCAAAAAGAAACTGTCCACATTTGCCACACACGCATGGTTACATGGCACAAAATGCAACTTTGCCAAATTGATAATGTTTTATAATGAAATTTTTAAATTTATGATTCTGATAATTATTGATCAAAATTGTTCTTGAATTAATAGTTTTATTGGAATTTAATTAGTTAATTAGTAGTCCAATAATTTGAAATTGGGAACAATTTATGCTAGAAATTCAAAATTTGGTTAGAAATTGATCACATGTTCAATCAAATTTTATGCTAAAAAAATGGATTATTTATTTTAATCAAATTATTATTGAATTGGTAGAATTAATTTAACAGGGAACACTAGGAACTGGACTCACTATTCTGATACACTCTTGGGGATTACACGTGAAGGGTCCGGTGTATGTTGCACTATTTTTGCCTATGTCTATTGCAATTGCAGCTATCATGGGACTAATTCTACTTGCTGATACACTTCACCTTGGCTGGTAATTAAAAACAATCTTCAATATTTTGGATTAATTACAAATTATGCTTGGAATATAATTTTTTGAAATTATTCTTGGATTCTTTTGACCTTCTGTTTAAATAATAGACATGTTTTACGTAATTTTGCACAATATAAATTTCAAATAACATTTTAGATAAATTGATATAGGTAAATATTGATTTCATATTTTTAATTTGTAAATATTTTTTAATGAGTATTTCAAGATACAGATATTAATGAATATTTTTTTACCCGTACAATGATTTGTACTAGTTTTATAGAATAATTTATTAATTGTTTGAGGTGCTATATGTGTGTGTTTGTGTGTGTGTTTATTTTAAATAAAGTCAAAATTCAAGGCTATTTTTATAATTGGGCTTATTATTTTCTGTTTATTATGGATTAATTGTAGCATCCTGGGATCCATAATTATATCTGCGGGTTTTTACACTGTGATTTGGGGCAAGGCAAAAGAAGAAAATGGAGATAATAAACATGAAGGTTATGAAGATTTGGAGTCATCATCGCCATGTGCAAGCTCATCTGCACCACTTTTGGAATAATGCACATTAATTATAATTATGGTAATTCTGTTGTTAAGTCGGTTACGATACTAGTAAATATTCATACTTTCAAATTGAAATGTTATTACTTTAAAAAATACTATAAGCTAAACCATGACATCTCATAACATGGGTATGCATTTTTTGTTAACAAAAAAAATATTACGGATCAACCCGACTACCGGTTAGGTTACCTCATTTATTGTAATGAATACAATGAGTCTTTGATAAAGGGTGTGTAATTGATATGTAAATTGCAATTAACATTTTTAGCCAGTAGTCGTTTTTTTTAGTTATAAAAGTCTAAAATTGTTAAGTGGTAAGCAGCTTGATGTCGCTTAAGCAAAGTATCGGGTTCGAGTCCTTGTGGATGCAGAAAACCCTTGTTGGGAGACTCACCCACCACTGTCAGGTGTGCGACCCGGGTTGACCAACGGATTAGTCAGGGCATAGCTTCGGATACCGTGGCTGGCTACAAA